ACGGGGATGATCCGCTGAACAGGGTATGGTTTTTCGAGCTTCTTGTCATAAACAGGGTATGCACTTTCACTCAAATGCCAAGTTCTTCCTGAGTTTCCTGTCATATTCAGGGATTCTACTTTTGTATTGACTGAAACTGGTTATTATGGTCATAAAAAAACGATACGCGAGATGACATGATAATTGAAACGGGAACTCAGGGCAATTAATTATATCTTTTGTCACGAACAGGGTCTACAAATTTGGGTTTTTTTGTCATAAACAGGGTACCCCTTTCAGAATCCCAGCGGAACACCCCTACCCAAATTCTGACGGAGTACCCCCCCCCAGGAATCTTGTCCAGTCCCCATTGTCGGCTTTGAAATATTACTTCAAGAATGTGAAAAACCAATAGTATCTTTGCCACAGATTTTTCACGATGATTTGAATTTTTCTTAATATGCAGTAATCATGCTGTCACTATATGTCTTTTCCAAATATTAAATAAAACAAAGTTGTCATAAGATATTACAATCTTCTTTTTTATCTTCTGGTCCATTTTGATGCTTTTCTATCTCGTATAGCATGGTATTGAAAATTTCCTGGACACACTAAACACATCAATAAAATACATTAAATTTTGTGAGAATTTGTTCATGACTTACACATGTGTGATATCCATTAAAATATGACACAACGCAAGTCACAAAGTCTTGGTTAAGACTACAGAGGGGTGGGGGGTGGGGGTTTATATCTGGGAAGAAGACATATTGTTTACTTCCAGAAAATATCCATACCCCATCATGAAAGGAAATTTGTAAGAGTACCCCCCTGCCCCCAGGAACTTCCCATTTTCTTCCATTCAAACTTTGGATTTGTAATTTTGTTCTTTCTCTGACCCCCCTCCCCTGCAGAATTTCCAATGTTCTCCTTTGGTGGGGTATGGATATTTTCTGGAAACTACACATCGCTGGGGAAGGGGATAATAAAAATTTATTATGAGTAATCCAGTACCGCTCGAAAGCTGGATTTTCATTGCTCCCTAAGTACAGTACCGCTTTTGTAAGGTTAGGTTTAGAGCTATTGTTTGGATGGCCAATCTATTGTTTTTTAATCCTATTATGTAACTTGCTCCGAGTGGCACGGGCTGGCTCATGATTATAATCAAAATTATAATCAGAATTTTAACAGTATATATTGTACTTACACTATTTTCCTTGGCAGAAGCTTCAAAAAAAGCTGCCTTCCAAGAGTTAGCAACCACTTTCCCTGATTCTGTACTAACAACTCTGAAAATTCAATGATGAATTGACTGTTACTTAAAAGAGAGAAAGGACATAAAAAAAATTTAATTAACAGTTTTTAAAAGTTTTCTTTAGGTATTGTTGCAGTTCCCCAAGAGGTTGCATTGGTAGGGTAGGTCAATCGTACCTCCAAATTCCTGTGGGAACCTTGCAACTAGGAGTTTCATTACCCATTACCCCTTGTAATGATCTAGGATTTCATTCATGGACTGGAGTGAAAATCTTGGTTTTTAATTACTTTTGAATTTCAAAATATGCAATAAACCTAATTCATCTTGGTGCAATGTTTATCTATTTCAAGTCAAACCACATATCGTTCCCAAGAGTATCATTCTTTGTTTAACAGTTGAACACAAGAACGAACATGAATACGGATACACCGCACTATATAATCATTCCCAAGTGTATCATTTCTTTGTTTAACGGTTGAACACAAGAACAAACATGAATATGGATACAACTCATTAAATAATCATTCCCAAGAGTATCATTTCGTTATTTAACGGTTGAACATAAGAACAAACATGAATATGGATACAACTCATTAGATAATCATTCCCAAGAGTATCATTTTGTTATTTAACGGTTGAACATAAGAACAAACATGAATATGGATACAACTCATTAGATAATCATTCCCAAGAGTATCATTTCGTTATTTAACGATTGAACACAAGAACAAACATGAANAACATGAATATGGATACAACTCATTAGATAATCATTCCCAAGAGTATCATTTCGTTATTTAACGATTGAACACAAGAACAAACATGAATATGGATGCAACTCATTAGATAATCATTCCCAAGAGTATCATTTCGTTATTTAACGATTGAACACAAGAACAAACATGAATATGGATGCAACTCATTAAATAATCATTCCCAAGAGTATCATTTCGTTATTTAACGGTTGAACATAAGAACAAACATGAGTATGGATACAACTCATTAGATAATCATTCCCAAGAGTATCATTTCTTTGTTTAACGGTTGAACAGAAGAACAAACATGAGTACGGATACAACTCATTAGAGAATCTTATTCTCTAGGAAATGACATGCATATTGCACCACAATGATTTAGGTCTATTGGGTGGCTCTTGTAAGTTTGAATGGAAGGAGACTTTACCTTTCCATGTGTAAATCAGTCTTGTTTCCAACAAGTACCATTGGAACACTAAAAAAAGATGACAATTACAGGTTGCATCTCCAATATCATAGTAAATCACAATACCCTGTCTACAATGAATAATATTTTACTGTCAACTGATCTACCAACAGCCTATTGCTAATCTACTGACAACCTACCAACAACCAATCAATACCCTGTCT